CGAGATGCTCTGTGTCAAGAAGCCCCTTTGCCCCTAGCAGACTCCCCTCAATACGTGCTCTGGGAAGCGGTGCCTGTGCCCCTTTGCAATAACTTCTAGGAAACTTGTAGGCCCTTTCCAAAGTGTCTCATCTCTCGGGAGGTGCCCTGGGCCAGGCTTTTGCCTCCCAGCATGGGACGTCGGAGAAGCAGATGTCTGCAGGGAGTCTGGCAGATCAGCATGGCAAGGGCTTTTAGGTTACAGAGCAGAGGCTGGGTGGTTGATGGGGAGTTTGGAGGCACTAGCCAGCGATCCCCGCAGTTTGCTGCGTGCCACGTATGTGTGAGAGCCCTATGGGGGGAGGCTATTTATAAGCTGGGGGTGTGATCTCCGGGGTGGAAGCGTTCCTGTAAATAGCAGTTGCACTTGGCTGATGTGACTCTTCAATGTCGTGTGCAGTGTTCCCGCCCCTCCTCCTCCTCCGATCGAACCTCTCCAGGGAGCCCTTTTGGAGAATGACCTCTGCCAGACTCCTCCTCTGCCTTCCCTGCGCTCCAGCAGTGCCCTGGTGCTGGCCACGCGTGAACTGCTTGCTGCTTCGAAGAATACACAGGATGCAAAGCACAGGTGCTACATGCACCAGCCACGCTGGTGCTCAATAAATAATGAATGCGTTCCACAACTTCAGCTGAAGACCTTGCTCCTGCCGCTGCCAGCGGCCTCCGTTGTGCAGCTGGTGTCAGCATCAGCCTCCTCGAAGTGCTGACCCACGTGCCTTGCCGCCACTGGCCCCACACGTCCGCCACAGCGAGGGGTGAGCTCAGGGACGTGGCTTCTGGCTCATCCAAGTCAAAGAGTGGATGAGGGCGATGGTCTGAGCTTCTGAACAAACAGCTGGATTAGGACGAGCAGATAGGGATTGCTTGTTAGGCCCTCGGTGCTGGGGAAGCGTTGTGCTGCCTAAACCTCTAAGCTGCTTGTAACACGTGGATTTCCGTGGTTTTCCTCCCTGTGTTTGTGTTCACAGTGACTTGCATTTTCCTATTCGCAGGCTCCTATTCGGTGGCCCCGTGTATGACACGAGCTGCATAATTTCACCTGCTTGCTTCAATACAATTACAAATAGCTCAGGCAGGGACATGGTACTCCTTCCAGAAAGGCATCCAGTCGGCAGCCTCCTCCTGACTTATTTCCCTTCCTCTTTCAATGTGCAGCGACACCAGATATACGGGGTCAGTGGCTGTTGTTGCTTCCCTATCAGCCAACTGGGCCCATACGCACCGTACCCTCGGAGAGGAGCTGGGGGCATTTTTTTTACCCAGCTTTGCAATCCCGAAGTTTTCCCAAGTGTGCAAGTTTCTCCTCCCACTTCTTTCATGCTCCCCCCTGAGTTTCGCTTGTCTCTCGTGTCTCGTTGCCTCTGCAGAGAGCGCAGAAGAATTTCAGCAGTACAGTATTACTTAATGAACTAGGTTTTTGGTGTCTGGAGGTTTTCAGAAGACAGGTTAATTGTCGTTAACCCTCCGCTTCTCAGGCTTCCTATTATCCAGCTGACAAATCAGTTATTAAAAGAGCGAATCTTACGTTCCAAGTCTGAGCGAGGTTTGCTTAGGGTAAAATATGAAACGTCTTCAGTTTCGAATGCAATTAAATTTGCTGAAGCATGGATCCAATATCTTGCACTTAACCAGATTGAATTAAATGAAGTTCAATTATTTGCCCATCTCTCCAATATCGCTTGAGTTGTTGGGGGTGTTGTGAAAGGAAACGTGTAGTGTATCAAAGTGATTAATTCAACCAAAAGCTTAAATGCAATAAGGCTGAGAAAATTTAATTTATTGGGGACATATTGTATTGACAGCCATGTTTAGCTGAGGCAGGCAAGTGCTTTCCAGCTCCATTCTTCATCTTCGTTATTTATTTCAACTTATAATGCACAGAAAAGGTGCCTTTCCTAGTGCCTGGGCACCTATCCAACCCATTAGAAACCCAGGCAACTTAAAAGATTGAACCAAGAGCTGCTGCTTTTCCCTCAAGCCAGCAATGAAATCAGTGCAGTCCTTACCGGGGTCCCATTCGCAAAAGCCCGCGTGGGAGGCCGTGGAGCGTGCCCTCCGCATCGGCATCGTTTGGGCTGCGGGAAGTCTGCTCCCAACCCAAGGCCCCCAGGAGGAAAACCCTGCCGAGTTGCCTGTCGTAGACCCAGGGGCTCGGGGAATACCTGGATGGGCCAAAACGGTGCCAGCAATGTGGATCTAGGGTCTGCCGGTGTAAGCTAGACGCCTGACAATTCACTCATTACCTAGGGAAGAGACCGGGCCCTGGCAGGGGAAGACGATCCGAGGGAAGACAAAGGATGCTGTTGTCTGCCAGGCCCAAGCAGTGCAGGAGCCCCACGAGTAAGAAACCCTGCTCCTCTGATTTGCGGCCCCAGCGTGCTGGCCGTGGCTGTGTCATTAGTCTTGCATGTCGAGCAATTAATAAAAAACGAGGGTTGGAGGTCACCCAGTCCAATCCGCAGGGGCCTATACCGAATGCATTGGAAAGTGGAGAGGGATGTGTGGTTTTCACTCCAGCGGCAGGTGGACGTTCAAGAAGGGGTTGCAGCTAGGCCCTGCGATCCTTTACTGGGTGTCCGGTGTTTGCAGAAGTGCTCCCTTCCCACCAGCTACCTCCACGTGGATCGAAGGACCCTCCTTGCACAAGCAGATTGGACAGCTGGGCTGCACAAGGACACCCGTCACCCTTGTGAGGTCGCGGCAGAGCCCCACGGACGTGGTCGTGGGGCTCGGGGAGGCCGGCTGGGAGGAGCTGGTCGTGTCTGAGCAGTTTAGCCGCGCTCGCCCCTTGCTATAAGGGGAGGAGAGCGGGGAGCAAGCCCTGGGAACTGCAGGTAGAAACAGCTGGCAGCCGCGAGGATCGCAGAGGTCAGACGGGCCGTGGCGTCAGCGCAGGCTGCAGGTCCTCGTCGGACTGGGACCGCGCAGCCGCTTCGGGAAGAAAACTGATGAGGGTTTGGCTGGGAAGCGACGGGCAGGCTTCTCATCCTCCCCAGAGGAGTGACGCCGTGCAGACTGGAGCGGCGGGACCCTGGGGCGCCGGCGAGCATCGGTGCAGGGAGGTGAAGCCTGGCTCAGGAAACAGCAGTGCTGCCCCGCGAGCGGGAGGAGGGAGGCGAGGGCAGGGGAGGCAGGATGCTCAGATTTGCAGCCGGGGTGGCCTCGCTGAGCAGCGATCCCCCGATACCGAGAAGCACACAGACCCTGGGTGGGGAAGGAGTGACGTTTGGCGCTGCTGTCCCGCGCACGGGGCTGAGCAAAGAGCTGCAGGAGACTGCGGGGCTCGGGGCTCCGGTTCAGAATAAGGCTTGGCCGAGGGGCTGAGATCTGCCTGTGCTTAAGAAGAAAGGAGGAGGCCGGGCTGGGCTTCCCTGCGCTGCTCCCAGCACCCGGGTGAGACAACGACACCTCTTCCCACGCAGCGCCGTCAGCACGTGGGCACCGCGTGAGATGGGATCCCTGAGATGGAGCCCGGCGGGGCGCCCCGGGTCTGCCCTCGCCGTCTGAACAAAGCCACGAGCAAACGCTTTCACCTTCGGGCTGCAAACCTGGGCGTGCAGCTCGTCATTAGGCGACGCTTCCCAGGAGTGAATTCAGGACGGATCGCGGCTAAATAAAGCCTTATCGGGCCGCCCGGGGAATCGGGCTTCAGTTACGCGGGGGGATGCTGCCGGTGCCGCTCGGCCGTGGGGGAGCTGTTCGCGGTCGTCTGTTCTGGCTGATGGCAGCGGTTAGCCCGGTTCCCCTGTACGGCAGCGAGGAAGGAGGATCGGAGGCAGCGGGAATGCAAGGCACGGACTTTGTCTGGTGCCGGTGTCTGCCCCAGAGCCAGTGGGTCTCGGGGCCTCCAGGGCTGTCCAGCCGGAGGCTATGTGATGTTTTCCCCCATCGAGGATCCCAGAAACGTTGGGTTTCGTTGCAAACTGAAATGCAACCCACCTTCGAAGTAGCAAAATCCTCCCAGCCTTTTGCAACCTGGTTTGAGCTACAACTTCGGTGTTATCTTCCAGGGTTTTGGTCATTCGTCAGAGAGGGCTGCTTATGTCTTCTCTGCACTATCAAAGGCTGTGCGCTTGCCAGCCCTGATGCCGTCGGGAACTGCGGTGCCACGAATTCGTGGATTTCATATGATTTCAAGGCCTGAATATGCTACTGTATGATGTGACCTCCCGTATAACGCATAATGCTGCGTGTGCAGCGTTGCCCTTGGACTGAGCCCGATAACTTGTACTGACCAAAGCTTCCAGTCTTGATTTGTAGATCTTAAGAGATGGAGAAATCCCTGACTCCCGTGGTTTGTTTTAACAGTTACGTACCCTTACCGGTATTAAAAAAAAAAACAAAACAACCCACCTGCCTTACTGCCAGTGTGCAATTGCCTGGCTTTAATTCCAGCCACTGCTTCTTGCAGGCCCCTTCTCCCCTAGGTAACGCGCTAGGATCGCCACCACGCAGCATGGCCTGAGCTCTGGGAGTTCGAGTACCGCCTGGGACGGGTGCCGCTGGTGTCAGTGACTCAAAGCATTAAAAGAAATGAGTCCTGAAGGGTTTTTTCCCTAGGTCATTTGCCTCCTGAAGAGCGGACTGGCCGGGGGTTGGTTTTCAAGCTGGAGGATGTTTGTTGAGCGACTGGTCTCGGGCGTTTTCTCTGCTCTTGCATCCTGCGGGGCTTGGCTGCGTCTCGGCGTCGTGCTGGCTCTCTGCATGGGGTGAAGATGATTTCACCTGATGGTTTCTTAGCTACGATCCGGTCGGTAAAGCCGCTTTGCTTGTTCCTTTAATTAAAGATAACTGGATCGCTGTGACCTGCCCCAGCTTCTGCTGAAGTTGGTGGGAGGGGGTTGAAACCCTGCGATCCCGCGTGCGAGGGTCTGGACGGCGCAGGGCGGTGGCCCGGGCTGGTACGCGGTATGAGTCCAGAATCCGTCTTGACGCTCGCTTTCTCTCTCGTTTGCCTTTCAGGACCCGAGGAGCAAGCACAAATTTAAAATCCACACGTACTCCAGCCCCACCTTCTGCGACCACTGCGGCTCGTTACTGTACGGACTCATTCACCAAGGGATGAAATGCGACTGTAAGTGAAGGCCTGTGGGGAGGAGCTGGGGAGGGGAGAAGCCGTCCCCAGGTCCCAGCTGAGGTACAGGGCAAGGCAGGGTCCTGGGGTCACCAGCAAGCATCGAGCTCCTTGTCCTGCCCCCAGAGCACACGCAGGCTGCCAGCCCAGCCTCGGGCCACGCTTACCCCGGCTGCAGGGGAGAGCTGGGCAGATGCAGGGCCTGGAAGGGAGAAGGGGAGCAAAGACATAAATAGATAAATGACATAAGACTCCCTAAGCCTAATGAAAAGGAAAAGACAGACCAGGTTTTTCCAGCCTGCATTTGATTTCTTTCTGCCCTCCGCTCCTCCAGCCCCCCGGGGAAATGTGTGAAGTGTCCAAGAAGGTCAAGGAGCTTGGTCTGGAGCTGGCTGGCTCCGGAGCTTGGCCGGAGGAGGGATTTCAGCTCAATGTGGGGAAGGGGAACGGGAACGCCTGCCCCGATGCGAAGCAGCTGAGCGTGAGAGGCACGCTCGCACGCGCGGGCTGCGGGTGACACCCCGTGGCCATCTTGCTGCAGAGACGAAACATCCTGCGGTTTGCACGGCTTTGCAGCAGCCCCTTCTAGAAAGCACGGTCTTGCTGCTGGTCTGCAGGGGGGAGAAGCAGGGAGAGGCTTTTCTCAGTGGGTTTAGTGATGGGGTTGTCTCGCGGGGGGGAGAGCTCACGGCTCACGGAAGGAGCGATGCCCGCGGAGCCAGCTTTCCTGGGGGAACAGGCTGAATCTGCAGGGAATAGCATGGCCCGGTGTTTGAGAAGAGCCAGTGGCTCCCGAAAGATCAAAACGTGCTGATTTTATTACAGGAGCAGCTTGTTCACAATCTGCTGCAGCATGGCACCTGCGGAAGTATTCGTGCTGCACAATCAATGCCTCTCACCATCATGCACGCATGCACACGCGTGTGCACACACACACAGGGCCCTACCAAAGCTCGCACCAGGTGCATTTGGAGGAGCAGAGCCCCTGCCTGTCCGTGTGTGCCCCACAGACGTGCCCAGCTCGAAGAAGTCTCCTCCTTCCCCCTTTGCCTTCCCTGTGCATCCCCCTGGGCTCTGCAAGCAGCCAGCCCCGGGGAACGCGACCTGCCTGAGTAACGCCTGCTTTCTCCTGTGCAGCCTGCACGATGAACGTGCACAAGCGCTGCGTGATGAACGTGCCCAGCCTGTGCGGGACAGACCACACCGAGCGCAGGGGCCGGATATACATCAAGGCCGACATCGAGAAGGACGTCCTCACTGTCCTAGGTAGGCTCATGCCGACAGCAAAGCACGAGGCCCCGGTGCTCTTAGCACCTCGGTATTGCAGCGGGATGGGAGTGGTGGTGTTGGAGTGAGGGCCCAAGATGTGTATGAGAGGTGAGGGGGTCTGGGGATGTCTCTTCATGTACCCACAGACCCTGTCTTGTGTTAGCTAGCTGAGCCTGTATCTGCTCCTCCTTCCTCAGCTCTTTCACCCATGCAGTGGGGCCAATGAAGGCTATCACCATGCCTCTCAGCATTGCAGTGCCCAGCTGTTGGCATTTTGACATGAAAACGAGTGTGCCCATGCTCTTTCCCTGGAGCCCGCCAGTGTGGCAGTGCCCTGTACTGTGTAGCCTACTTACTGCCCCTTTTCCTGACTGGCAAGACTTCGCAGCATCTCTTCCCAATCCTGTTTAGCAAACCAATGACCCCAAACCGCCTGCCCCAGCCCCTGTTTGCCGCTGGGATGCAGCAAACTGAAATCCCAGGGTCTGCCTTTGCTACGGGTTTGTCTCTAGGTGCGAATACAATGCAAACGGGAGCGACGGCTCCGATTCTCCCAGTGCATTCCCTGCAGCGTAGCCCCGGAGCGGTCCTGCAGCCTCGCGGACATGCCTCAGGGCCGTGCAGGTTGATGCTGTTGTGGATGCGCAGGCTGGACTTTATCCCTTCACGCTTTCCAAACAGGAGAAATGGCAGGGAGCGTGGGCAGCGCTGGGGGGAAAACGTGGAGCGCCAGTGCCCTCTCGTGGTCCTGGGCGCTCAGGACGGTGCAATGCCGAGGACGTAGGACGAAGGCAGAGGGGTGGTTCTGGCAAGGGCGATCACTGAAAATTAGGGTGGGCAAGCTGGTCAATTGACCATCAGATATGACCAATTGACCAGTCAGTTGTCTGCGTGTTTTTGACCAGTCAAAGATTATAGCAATTTTACAACAACAACAAAAAACCCTACTTTTTTTGTAGTTTTCTGGACAGAAATATGATCTTTTAAATTGGTTTTTGACACAGTTCTTAATGGAAAATTTGGGCTTTTTCTGTTGGCAGTTTTTACAATTTTTCACCTCTCAAATACCCAACTCTACTGCAAATATGACCTTCAGATGGGGCCGGAGGACGGTGCATGGTGGCTCTGGTAGCAGTGTCAGAGCTTGAGGGGTGGAGGGGGGCAATCCCTGACATGCTGGGGGAGATGGACACCCGCGGCAGGTGTAGACCGACTGTGAGCCGGGCTGGCGGTGACCCTGCAGGAGGGTTCGCACCGATGCGGATGGCACGGTGCTCCTGGGTGGTCTTGGTGACTGAAGCACCATGGTGGGGGGGTGGGCATAAAACCATATTATAAGCAGGAATCAAAGCCGTGGGGTGGGACAGAGGGACGTGTTCTCCTGCCTCCGGGCCCAGCCTCATCTTCCACGGATGACGCTGGTGCCGTCCTGCCACGTGGCTCTGGCTTCTGGGAGGCGTCCGTGGCCGTGTGCTGCCCCGGCGGTCCCTGCCTAGCGGTCAGCCGCTGGGGCTGGACAGTGCGTGGGTGGGGTGACCCGAGCTCTGCTTCCCGAAGGCAGTGCGGGCTCCGCCGGCCGGCGTGGGGGCAGGCTGCTGCGGTCCGGGTTGTGCGTGTACTCCGGGACCACGGCCTTGGAGCAAAGCCCAGGCAGCCTTGGGGCAGTCTTTTCCCTTGTGCACCCACATTGTGCCTCCCTCCTCCATCTGACGCACGTCCCTTGACTCATCTGAGACCCCCGGGCTGCGTAGAGCGGGGCCGCCGTGTCTGCCGAAGGCAAAGGTGCGCTGTGCCTCTCGGGGCTACTAGGTGTTTGCAATGGCCTGCAGACACGGTCGTGTAACGGGTCGCAGGACTGACCCAAGCAATTGAGGCGAGCAAGTCCTTGCAGCTCGGAGCAAGCACAGCTGTGGGGGCCCGGCATCCGGGCGTGCCCTTCCCAGGATGCAATAGTGGGTATGCGTGTGCTGTGTGCGTGCGTGTGCATGCCAAAATCAAGAGGCACTAGCACTTCTTAGGGAAAACCGTCCTGGCAGCGAGAGACTCGACCTGTTCCTCTGACCGGATCGTAGCTTTATGCTGAGAATCTCTCCGGCCGAGGTCTCTGCAGCCCGTCGGGCTGAGGCAGGGCGCGTTGCGGCGGCTGGGAGTTGACCGTGGGCTGCAAAGCCGAGCATCGGGGCTGCGTCTCTAGGCACTGAATCAGTCCTCCCAGGGCAGGGGGGGCCCCCACTGCCAGGAGCCTCTAAATCAGGCCTGGAGGGTCTCCTGTTGTGAGCCGGCCACAGCTTGCCCCGAGTTCCCGTGCTCCGGGCGACACCGTTTGGTCTGGAAGTGTCCTGGGAAATGCCGTGTCCACGAACAGCACCGCTTTGTGTGGGGAGTATTCAGCTTTGTGATGAAAAACGTGGGGGCGGTTTTTCTTTTTTTTTTTTTCTTTTTTTCTTCCCAGTGGAGCTGTCACAGTCCAAGGGAAAATCATAACTGGAAAAAACAAAAAAAAAAGTTGGTCAAAACCTTTCCCAGGAAAAGCGTCTGCTCCTAAGTCCCCATGCGATGGTGACATGTAGGTGCCACGCTTCCCAGAGCGCGCTGGGGAAAGCCTTTGACACCTAAAAGGCCTGGGGGAAGCGCCTGGGGAGACGGAGCAGAGACATGTCATCTGGTTGCTTTTTAACGAGCGCCTTCGAAAGCGAGTTTTATTTCGGGCCCTTTCTGGGGGCGTCGGTGAGAACCTGTCATCTGCTGCCGGCTCCTCCAGGAAGGCAGGGCATGCGCCGCGCGCCCCCTCCCATGCCGTTCGGGAGGGAGGGGAGCACCCAGGCTGGCTGCCCGCCCGCCTCCCGCCAGGCCTGGTGTCCCTCCCCGGGGCAGCTCCTGGGAGACGACCCCAGGCAGGCGCTGGGAGAGCGGGGTCGTGCCGGAGGCCGGGATGGCCCCTGACCCCAGGGTCTCGTTCCAGCCATGCAGCACGCACACGGCTGCAGCATGCATGTTGTCTCCTGCCCCATGCTAGGTGGGGGGGAATTTTAATATCATCGACATTCCTGTTGTCCACGTGGGCAGGAGGCCACGGGCTGTCGACAGGTGGCAAGTGGAGTTGGTGGAGAGCGGGATCAATGTTTTGGCTTCCAGGCGGGCAGCTGATGAGCCAAAGCACGTGGCTTCAGTGTCGTGGTGACGGCATTGTCTCCGGGAAGCCCTCCCCTCCACGCACTTCCCACGTGGGACTTTCCCTCCCCATCCGAGAGGTGTTTTGTTGCGACCCGCTCCCTTGTGCCGCGGCGCTGCGGTGGGATGGGCAGCAGCCTGGACCCCTCGTTATGCCGTGCACATTTCTGTTTTCCCAACGTGCTCGGCCTCTGGGCGTGGGACCTGGTCGTGGCAGCACGTCGCGTGGCCCCTGTGCGAGGGTGCTGGGGGGCGAGCGGGGCTGGCGTGTTGGCCGCCAGGTGGCAGCAAGCTCCCACGAATCGCCTGCCGTGGACGGCTGGTTCTTGGGCAGCTTTGAAGTCCTTCCCTGCAGCAATCGGGACGTGGACATGGATGATATCTTTTATTGGACCAACAAGATTTTTGCAACAACAACAAAAAAAAATTGTTTCATCGCAAGCTTTCGGGCACAAACACCCTTCATCAGGCATCGGGGAAAAATTGACTTTTTCCCCTCCCGCCCAAGCCCGTGTGTTGTGACCAAGCTTGGAGACCTTGTGAGTTTTCCTTCCCAGGGAAATTCCCCGTAAACAAACGCCAGCCAGGCCCCTCGGAGCCTGCTACGGACATGCTGGTGCCATCCAGGAGGTCGCCGGTATCCTCCTCCGCTCTCGGGGCCGAGCCCCGTGGGTTTCGGTGCAGTCTGCGCCAGGGGACCCTCGTTCGGGACCCCAGGAGGCTCCTGGTCTCCGGAGAGATTAGGCACCAGGGCTGGTCTGTCTGCAGGGCAGAGAGAAATGACAGGTAGGTTGAGGCAAGTGGTGTCGGCTTCATGTGCTGCGAGGGGCAGCTCGGTGAAATATTCCTTTTCTTCTGCTGAAATACAAACACGGGCTGGTTGAACAGGTTCACCGTGGCAGCTCGGCGGAGGGGGAGGCAGTGCCTTCTTTTCATGCCCACCGAGGGTGCGTGGCCCTGGGCTTCAGGCTCTTGGGTGCTGTGAAATGCAGTGACAGTAGGAGCCCGTGCTCCCATGCAAGCTAGGAAGGGCTGTAGCAACCCTCCTGGCTCAAACCCTGATGAATTAGCACGGGGTCCTTGCACCTTCCTGCGAACGGCCCGTGCCTGCTGCTCCAGGAGCCAGGACATCAGCTCCGACTCCTGGGCACGCTCGGGGGAAGCGCTGCCCAGCGCCCGGCGAGGATGCTGTGCAAGGAGCAGCTCCCCAGGGCCTGATCTGCACAGCCTTGCTCTTGCACCGTGGAGAGAAACAGCTGGCTGTGCATGGCTTCTCCTTAGCTTGTGACCCGTGCCCCACAGCATGTCAGGGAAGCGAGGGGCTTTTACGCACGGGCTGCAGAGCCAGGAGCCCAGGTCGAACCCAGCGCGGACGAGGCCAGGACGCCTGCCTGACTCTTACAGCACAAGGCCAAGGCTGAGGGCAGGAGGGAGGACAGCATCCTCGGGCTCGTTTCCCTCCCACGGCCTTCCCTGCCCACCTCTCGGGCAGCCGAGCCACGCAGCCCTCCTGCCCAGCCACCCGAGCCTGCGCCCGTGATGTTGCGTGGAGCGGTGCTGGCTCGGTGCACCCGGCTGCCCGAGCAAACCCTCGGTGGGCAGGAGCTGGCTCAGAAATCGTGAGACCAGCTCAAAAACCATGTGTTTTTTTTTTTTTTTTTCCCCTTTGCAAAAAGCAGGCATGTTTGCGTGCTGCCTGCCTGCCTGCTGTGTCTGGGCTGGTTGCACGTCGCCCTTCTCAAGCCTTTTGCTACAGCGGGGGGGCTTGAAGCTTAATATTTGAAAAGGAGACCCCGGAGTCTCACGTTGTCGCTTTGCCTGCTGGA